AAGGAAGGAAGGAAGGAAGGAAGGAAGGAAGGAAGGAAGGAAGGAAGGAAGGAAGGAAGGAAGGGCTTATTAATGCATCTTGCTCTCTGTTCCAGGAAAATGTCTAAATCAATAGAGACTCTGACCCATGGCAAAGATGTCTATTAAATCAGAAATATTACCCTCCTCCCATTTTCACTAGGATTCTCAGGACATCAAGTCACAAGCAGACTTTTCTCTTCACTGTTACATTGTTGTCCCCCAGTCACTAGAAATCCAGAGCCCTAGATTCCTCCTGCAGTACAGGATGATACATGAGCCTCGGTCACCTGCCTGCCTTGGGCCTTCTAGCTTTATGTAACATATAATTACTTTGTTTTTCTCTGGTTAATATGTCAAGTTAATTCACAGACTACGCAGGCAAGGAACTTTGAAGTACAGAAGAAAGCAATTCTTCCTGCTCTGTATTAATTAATGTCTGCTTCTCTCCTGGAGTATAAATTTGCTTCCATTTCTACAGGTTTTGACTTAAAATCTGACTGGCAATAGTGAGCACTCTCTAGATAGCAGTTACATAAATTAACTCACTGTTGAGATAAGGTGGGACTCTAATTCAAACCTGATTGCACATTCCCCTTCCTCTGTTCTTACTCCCATTCTTAGATGAGAATGTCCTTGAAACAACAAAGTTTAGAACAACAAAACTGAGACAAAGAGAAAAGGCATTTGGTTGGGCTGCAGTATTTTGTCCAGAACAATTGTTCTTCACACCTGGTTTCATGTGGGAAAGCAAATTCTGGGGAAAAGAGAAGCATCCCTAAAGGAAGTTTGAAAGACTGGTCCATCCCTCCATTCTCCCTTATCTTAGAAAAAAGCTAGTGTTCAATGTCTCCATAGTTTATACTATGTATGACGTTTTCCCTTGTATGTGTTCTTTATTTTAAAGACAGTCTAGGAAAAAAGGGGTTCCTTCAAACCCTTTGCATCATAATAAAGATAATAGACAGAAAGATGAGCAATAAGAAAGAAGAGGAAATAAAGGGAGTTAAATAAACGAATGTGGAGAAAAGTAAGGTTGGAGTTATCAGATTGGCCCAACGAAGGTAGTAAAACACTGCAGTTTGAACTCCTCCCTCCATAAAGAGAATCTAGTAAGAGCTTCTCTTCAGAGTTGGGACACACACAGAACCCAGTATCAGTCACAATTTCTTGCCCCTGAGAGAGGCTGAAAACAACATAAACACAAATGTTTGTAATCTATGCTAAAAGACTAAAATAATTTAAGAGCTTTATCTCCTCCAGGGTAAGTTCTATGAAGACAATAGGGAGGGAAGATGCCTGTATTTACACCAGGAAGTGTTGAAATAGGAAGATTTAAAGAGTAAGAGTCCTCAGACTTTTACACGACATAGAACCAACCGCCTCCTGGGCTGACTGAACCCTCCCCACCTCTGTTAAGGGGTGTTAACCGTAAAGACATGCCCGGATGTCTGACACCAACACAGGAAGTAAGACTCTGGATGCATTCCTACCCTCATCCCAAATCACAGCAAGTGGAAGGCACTCACCCGAAGGATAGACCATCTCGTGAGCCTGGTCACCTTCCTTTCTCCTGGGTGGGCTGGCACGGACAGAAGCCAGTCCCTCTGTATCCTTCTGATTATCTCTCTGCAGCTGCCCTCCTTACATCTAAGGGCAGCTGACAGCTCCTCTCTACTGAGCAACCACACCCGTAGGATGTGAGCGGCTTGTGTGTGTGTGGGGTTTTCCTTCCTGTTGCTGAGAGGTGATGTTGTCTTAGTCCATTTCCTCCCTGTACCACTGCCGCCACTACCACCTCTGCCTCCACCTCCACCTCCACCTCTGCCTCCACCTGCATCTCCTCTTCTCTTTTCCTTCTTTTCTTCCTCCTTTTCCTTCTCATCTTCCTCCTCCTTCTTCTATTTTTTTTCCTCTTTCAGACTTTCTTAGAAGCTAGAGGTACTTTGTAATTTTGAGTAAGGTAACAAAACTCATCTTGTTACCTTTGTATAGGAGGCCTTTTCTGTGTTTTGGAACACAGGTGATTTTAATGTTGAGATTAAGTTCTCCTGAAATAGCCTGTCTGGGCTGCAGCGCAGCAAAATATAGGCTATTTTAAAAAGCCAACTGGACTTGGTATTTTTTTGTTTATATGAACTAAATTTGTTCTGGGTGTTTTTACTGTAAATTGATGTGGTACCTTCTTATCCATAGTAAGTATTTATTGAGCTTGTGGGGTATAATAGGTGATTAGCTAGGGGCTGTGTCCCCAATGAATCTTGAATTTCCAATGTAGTAAGAAGCAAAGATTTGAACAGTAGAAGAGAGTTGAAAGCTATCTAGACCCAGCCCTGTTTTCCTTTTCTGCACTTCTGAGTAGCAGATGAGTGAACTGCCCCTCCCTTCAGAGTTATCCTCTGTGTGTCTGTGTGGCACACTTTTGGGACCTTTGGGCCTCAATGTCCTCACTTGAGCAATGGGAAAAATCATTATATATTTATATATATGAATAATAATTGAATGGGTTAAAATCTGGCATAAAATAAGAACTATGTGTTTGACAGTATTATCAGGACTAATTTTGTATCTTTCAGTCTAGGTCTTTGTTTTTATCTTTTCTTTCCTGTTTCCTACTCCTGAGAGCAGGGATAGTTTTGGACTAGGGATAGCAAGGGCTGCATTCCAGGCCCTAGGAAAGGTTTGGTCAGTAAGAGACAGTGACGACAACAAAATTACAGGTGTGTGAGACCCTGGTCTTGAGCTGCCTTCCTCACAACTCCGAAACCTGGACAATGAAACGCTCCTCAGAACAGTGGTTGAATGTGCTTGAGAGGGCGTGTCTCAGGAGGATTCTAGGCATCACACGAAGAGAGAGGCTGTGCAACAATGATATTGAGAAACATCCCCACCTACAGAAGGAAGTAAACTACAGGATATGGCAACAGCGCTTGAGATACGTCAGCCACGTTATCAGAATGAGTGACAGCAGATACCCGAAGACAGCACTGCTTGGAGGAGTGCACGGGATTAGGAGAAGAGGAAGGCCCCCAAAACACTGGATAGACAGCATAAAGGAAGACTGTGGAACCCTGGGTATGACAATAGCACAAGCATCTAGGACTTCCCAGGATAGGAACAACTGGAGAACTGCCATAAATGGGTTGCCCATGCCTGCTGAAGTATTGCTGGGGCATAGATGATGATGGTGGTGGTGATGATGATGATGATGGTGGTGGTGATGATGATGATGATGATGATGGTGGTGATGATGATGATGATGATGATGGTGATGATGATGATGATGATGATGGTGATG